GAATTTCGACTGGTATAGGTTCATCCGAACTCAATTTATGCGACCAAAGGTTTCGCAAGAGAATTTTTGCCTTATCGATAATTGGATTTATTGCACCAAGAGGGTCAAAGATTTTTGCGACCATGGATAACATGTAGCGTTTTGTAACAGTTTGAGGACAACTAATTGGCGAAAGATTTATTTGATATTTCAGTTGGTCACCAACACAACTGCAATAAAAACCTAAAACATTTACATAATCTGCTTGTTCAAATACAGTACGATGGGGTAGGCAATAACTATTTGGGAACTCCAAAGTATTAAAAGGAACGAGCTCCGTCTGGTTTAAGCCGCGATATTCTACCATAAACTCTTTGTTGGCGGATTTTAGTTTATGGTCCTTGTCCGGTCTGTTTTCCAAATTTAAAAATTGTTTTACAGCCCTTGGGGGTGACTCACCCAAGCGAAGGCCTTTAACAGGTAATTTTACCACGAATTGTTCTGACGACATCCTTGTTGCGTTTTCTACGGAATGTTTTTCACATTCTAAGTGATTGGTCTTATATTCGTCCTGATGGAATACATAATTAAAAATGGGTTTACAATTTACCAAGTTACATGATACGCTTGGAGCGGGAATGGTTGTAATTAATTCGCCCGACAAAATGTGACCTAGTTTTGTATTTTGTAAATATGGTAGATTTTTACCTAATAAAATAGGTCCGTCTAATAATAATTTCCAGAATAATTGGGCTCCAATTAACAAATCGACATTTTGAGTAACATTATAATTAGGATCTGCTAATGTTACATTTGGTGGCAAATTAATTATTTCTTTAGGAAATGTTACGCTAGGAATCGGCAGAGTAATTTTGGAAAGAACAACACAATCGAAATTTGCTGCAAATTCGCTGACTCGCGATTTTATAGTTACGTTCACATTTCCTTGTGTTCGATTATTGCAGGTACTGATACCAGAAATAAATTTGGTTCCAGTTGTTGGTGTGAGACCTAATTTATTACATAAACCCTTAGTGATTACATGTGCTTGGGAGCCGCCGTCCAAAAGCACTCTACATGTTTTAAAATCTCCTCTTTTATCTAAAATAAAAACTGTTGCGGTTGATAAAAGAACCTGGCTACAGGCTTGCCTTTGCAAAGTGTTAGCGGATGGTACAATTTCATTGCTATGTAGCAATGTGTGGTGTCTTTGATTACATTCCTTACATGAAAATGTTGATTTACAATCTTCAGTTTTGTGATTATTTCTTAGGCAGTTTGCACAAAGTTTTAAATTTTGAGATACAATGTTTCTGTCTAGAACGGATTTGCTTAGAAATTCATTGCATTGATACAGAGCGTGTGAATTTTTGCACAAAAGGCAATTAAATTTGGAAACTACGTTAGAATTATTAAACCTTTTTTGAATAAAGTTTTGCGATCTTGTATTTAATTGTTTAGGACTAGAAATTATTGATTTGGACTTATTGGCTGGTAAATTATTGGTTTTTAACTTATCCATCGCTTCCAATATTTCACACCTTTTTTCTAGAAATTCGGAAAATTGCAGGAAAGTAGGTACTGCCTTGTCTAGTGTTGACTGCCATTCCTTTTTAGAGGCATAATCTAATTTTTCGAATACAATTTGGACCAAAATTGCGTCCCACTGATCGACCGGTAAATTTAACACCTGTAAGGCCGCGACATTATTGGAAACTGTGTCGATAATTTCCCGTAATTCCTTGTGCGATGATTTTAACAAGCTGGGTATGTTTAAAATGTTTGTGATATGTTCCTGAACAATTAATCTTTTATTTTCAAACCTTTTTTGTAAAGTTTCGATTGCCTTGCTGTAGTTTTCGTTGCGGACCGCCAATGATTCGATGGACCGCAACGCCTCATCTTTTAAACAACTACGCAAGTAGTGGAATTTGCAGATATTTGATATGTTCCCGTCATTGTGTACTAATGATTTAAATAGATCAAAAAACGAGAACCATTCGCTATGTTTGCCATCAAAGGTAGGCAGTGGTAAAGGTTTCAAAATTACGCTATGTTCATTGGCTTCGAGTTTATTACCATCATTACGTATGTTAATAGTTGTAGAGTTAGGGGTTAGCGACGGGTTCAACGTCGCCGGACTGTTCTTAATAATTATGCCTTTTATTTTACCTAAAGTTTTATAATATTGGTTTTCAACCGAGGTACGTTCCTTATCATTTTCTGATTCCCAATACGATTCATTATGTTCCGCGTCTACTATCTGAAGTGACTCTATTTGATTTTGAATATTATTGTAGTCCTTTAACCTTTCTGTCAAATCTAACAACCTTGCATCTAATTCCGGTACACTATCGTCGTCTTTTACATTATTTTGTATACGCGTTATTGCAGCCTTTATTATTTTACGCTGATTTTTTAACTTCGTAAGTTCGGTCATTTCGGAAGAGTACGGACGCGCAACGACAAAGGTAAAACTTAAGCACAGGGCGATTGATACGTATAAGAATTTAGAACCGTATGATTTAGAAGGATAGAAAAAGGAAAGATCTGACCTTTTGATGATTTGATCTGCTGCACCTCTCGATGATGATCCGCTTCTGGGATAAAATCAGCCGACCTTTTAATGATTTGATCTGCTGCAACCTCTCGATGATGATCCGCTTCTGGGATGTTGGCTGCTGCAACCTCTCGATGATGATCCGCTTCTGGGATAAAATCAGCCGACCTTTTGATGATTTGATCTGCTGCAACCTTTCGATGATGATCCGCTTCTGGGATAAAATCAGCCGACCTTTTGATGATTTGATCTGCTGCAACCTCTCGATGATGATCCGCTTCTGGGATGTTGGCTGCTGCAATCTCTTGATGATGATCCGCTTCTGGGATGTTGGGCATGTGTCTTGATTTATGATTTCGTGGAGTTCTGGATCCGCTTTGAATATCGATTTGCCGCACTTATTCACTTATTTGTTATACCGCTATTCGGGCACTGGTTCGGATATTCGGCTCGAATTGACCAAAAATGTTTGTGATTATTAGAATTACTTCGAAGGACCAAAGTGAACACTGCGACCGTTTTAGTTGGGATTTATTCCAGAACTCTTGCTACATAATTGTGTGTACCGGTACCGACTAAAATGGGGTGGGTGGGACACACCCCCACCTCTTACAACCCCAGGTACCTGCTTAAGGTGATTGGTAATGGGAATTTCCAACAGTAGGTCTCGCATTTCCGTCTGTCTGTCGCCTGTCTGGTGATTTTTATTAGACAAATAACCTCAGAAACTGCCAAAGCAATTGTCCAATCACCACAAACAATTTGATGACGTTCCCTCAATTTTTTTTAGTAAGTAGTAATTTGTTTTGAAACAACATATTCTTGTATTTGTGACTTATGAATTCGCCTTGAGTTTTTACTTTAACCATTCAAATTTTCGCAAAAAAATACAAGTTTTATATTATTTTTTACTATAAAAATACTGAATGAGACAGCGAATAAGATCTCCGATTTGTAACGCTTAAAGTATGATTACTATGATCTATATTCTTACTTACTGAGCATAAACGTTGGCTACTTTCACGTTTTTTCGATGTCTCATCTCAAAAATTTACAATAATGAATGTTCTTTTAAACTTTATATATTTTTGCACTAGTGGTTTATGAATCCGTCTAGTTTTTCCCTAAATATCCAGATTTGTGGGAAATAATCAAAATTTTATAACGATATTTTGCAATTTAACTTTCAAAGTTTTAAACCGAATGTCATGAAAACTTGTAAGCATTGTAAATCGTTAATCGAAATTTATCCGTTTATCCCTCCCAAAAAATGATGATGTCATCTAAAAATTTTGCCGAATAAATCCTATCTAAAATACCGGGTGAGTATTAACTATTTAAAATTTTATGATGGCAGACCAAATTGCCAAGTTTATATTTATGACAGCTGCCATCGTCTCAACCAATCAACGCATGTGAACATAAAAATCTGCTTCAATCATTAATAGTCACGTGGTATATAAAATATTATGAATCTATATTTGTGGTTTATGAATGCATTTTAAAATTATATTTACAGCGTGATTCAAAAAAACCCAATTTTCTCAAAAATTCGAGTACACTTTACTGTTATTATTGGTATTACATTGCACCTATTCAAATTGATATAAGTGTTTAATAAAGTGTTGATGGAGTCACCACAAAATTGTCTTATGGAAAACTCACTTGTAACATACGCACAGAATGCTCCTTTACCTATACATACTATAACAGTCCATATATATCTTTATTTTAACTTATAGGGGTTATCATACAAAAATTGAATTTGCAAAATGAAATTTTACAATTTTTCGAAATATCTGTATTTATTCGTCTGTGTATTTCAGGGGCGAGGGAAGTTCTGTCTAAATAACTTTAGACCATTTTTTTTAATTTATTGAGGTTATCAGAAAAAATAACGTTTTATAATTTTTAAAGAAGTGGGATTTGTTTGACAGGGGCGAGGAAAGATAAGAATTTTGTAGTGTCAGTCTTAGAAAAATTAAACTAGGTATTTATACTGTTTTTTTTTTAACTGACACAGCTGGTGGATTTTTGATTGTGGAATAAACTATACGAAATATTCAGAGTTTTCTTTACTTAGGGGTCAAATCCTCGTACTGTGTTTTGTTGGGGTTTTATCATTCTACCTCCTCTATTCTTTGCAAAATGGCACAACCTAACCTCACTTTTTCGAATAATAAAATTAACATTTTTCAACAACTCTGTCAAATGTCAGTTTTACGCAACAGTATGGATTAATAACATACAACGTTTTTCGCTACGTTTTCTTAAAAAAAAATACTGCCAACTTGATGACTAACTGAACACCACTTGATTTATTTGAATATGACATTACACTCACAAAACACATCAAAAACTGTCACAGTTTGTCAAAATAAATTTCCACCAACATAGGTAACCAGTTTGCAAATTGTGTGATTTTTGTTGTCTTTTTCATAAACGAATATTAACTACTTACCCCCATACAGCAACTGCAGCGTTTCACAAATATCCGAAGATGTGTACAAAGATTGACAGTTCTTCTTGTGACAGTTACTAATTAGCCAAATCTGATCAAATCGTAGCCAACTGCAACCAGAATCATTAAACCGGTAAACCACGCAGTAAAATTAATTCACCTGTTTCTGAATTGACGTAAAGGCAGCAATATCGCTGAAGTTAGCTGCAAATGGGATTTAAATATAGTTTTTTTATGGTTTAAATTATTCAAGTCAGTTTGCAGTTAAAGCGTCACCACGTAAAGAATATATTTAAGTGAAAAAATATAAATTCAAATCTGAAGCTAACTTCAATGCAGTAGCATATTGACTAAATTGCTGAAAATATTTCATTGTACCTGTGAAGAGTATATGAAGCCAGTATTACACGCCATAGTAATAAAAGTCACGAAATGTTGCATTTTAATTTGTTGCTTTTTTAAAAGAGAAAAAAATAGTAGTATTAATTAGACTCACAAAGATTGTTCATTAAGGCCATGATTAAGGCTATAAATTGTGAAAAATTAATAGCGATTTAAAAAATATGTAGTGGCAGCAATGTAATGACAGTTATTGACAACCCTTGCCGGGTGGCAAAATTTAATTTGACTTCGGGATGTAAACACAAAAATAATCTCAAACGTACTTTTATCCAAATAACTAGATTTAGTATATAGTACGAAAAAAATTATCTGGCAACTAGTACAGTTAAGAAAATTATAAATTAGTGAACAAACTTAAACACACGACAGATTTAGCAATTTGCTTATTTTTATTATTTACCATTTTTAATTTGTAACAAGAACTGTGTAGAATATAAAATTAATTCTTTCAGTCAATAGTATGTTAGGTATTTTAAATGATCTTCAAAAAAGACTAATGAATTAGCTTGATGCAAATATAGTCATTTATTCTATTCAATTAAATATCTAAATGGCTGTTTTTTTTTATTTTTTGATATCGAATGATAGATTGGGTTTCACTTGGTGTATTAGTTTTTTTTAATTTGGTCCCAATCCGTGCGTCACTGATAAGTGACTTTTTAATGAATTTGATCAACCAGCGTTATCACATTTTAATTGCCCGTCTGACTCTAATATTTTCCAAAAAAAAAATCAGAGCCAACTTGCAACACCAACGTTAACCGCAATAATACTTACCAGTTAATTTACACACCAGCAAAATATGCAGCAAATTATTGTCAATAATAATTATTACTTAAAATGGAAATTATTTAAAGAAAACCACATGACATTTAATAACGACAAGGAATTGGGTTAAAGTCCTAATGATTTTCCACATATACGACATTTTATAACCCGCGTAATGAATAATGCAAATTTGTTGCTAACCTTTCTTTAATTTAAAATTATACAAAGTCCACAATCATCTAACGACAAGTTCATCAACCTGTTTGTTTACAATTCTCTTAAACAATTATCTGCGAGAGAGAAAAAAGAGAATGTAGAAATAGGTCGCGAACGCCTCTGGCTGACACGTTCTTTGAGTTTTACCTTGGATATTACCGATTCAAAAATTTTTTCCTACTTTAGTCGTGACACAGCTGAATTTGACACAGAGGCGCTACTGGAAGGTTTCTTGTAGGCGCGGGCGCTAATTGAAAAGCTTTTGTACTTGGATAATTCAATAAAATGCAAGAAGAAACGAAGAAATCGCATATGTTTTTTATATTGCCCACGACAATTCGATTTGTTCTAAGTATTGTTCACTAAACCTTGACCCAATTAAAACCGCCGAAAAATGTACACCCGGCTATGCACCGCTGTGACCTTGCGGTGGTCACTTCTTTTGCAACAAATTATACTTCGCCTCGCAAAAGTAAACACTTCGCGATTCTTATCGCCGCCGCTGTTTTTAGGCAGACTACTTACAATTTGGGTTTTCATCGTCGGCCGCAAGCTATAAACAACCATCACAGTTAGCGGTACTCGCGCCCGGCTATTTGGCGGGCTCATTTATATTCCGGGTTATAAAATGATGTGCGCACTCTGGTTATTTTTCAAGAAAATCCGCGTTCTAAAATAAGTGCGAAAAAAATGGTCGCGTGGATGTGCAGCCGCCGACGCAAAAATGAAGAAAGGTGTCAATTCTCGAGTGCTATCCGATATGGTTAATTGACTTCATAAATTACCTACTTCTGGTCAAATGTACCAGAGAAGTTGTATAATTGTTGATGAACTTGTTCACTTCTGGAATGCAAGGTGTGTGGAATTCATAGCCCACTTAGTTCGGAATGTGTGTAGCTATAATTTGGATTGACCAAAATTCGAAGAACGAGGAATCGACGAAATCGTCAAGTGCGATTAGCTCTGCTTTTTTGAGGCGCTGTCGGTCGCTTGTCAGAAGCTAATAAGAAAGTTGAAGAAGTGTTAAAGAAACTGTTTCTCTTCGTTTGCACGGTGCGAATTTTGTTCCAGGAAATGCGATAGTTTTTGGTTTGACAAAAAATAATATAATAGGCATACGTAGATGACTTTTATGAAGGCGCAAATATTTGGTTAGCAGAATTCTGCTGCTGTAATCCAACAAATGTTTTATCTTCTTGACCGTCTAAATAAAAAAAAATCTAACAGGTACAAAATTTTAGACGTGCTGATTGCTCATTCCGTTAAAGTAATTAAAATATCTGCGTGTACAGAGGCAGGTTTTCTTATACTTGTCTTAAATAATTCTGGTCTTTAATTACCGTCTAGGCAGAAGAAATGAACGATCTAACTAGTCTCATGGTTTGTTTATGTCTGTTCCAATTATTAAAGAAATGTGAATGAAATCGACGTACTTTACAACAATAATAATGGTGATCACTTGATCAGCGAGTGTGAACTATATGATAATAATAATTGATAAAAGAGAGCAGTAAAAATGTTTTTGTTGAAATACTCTAGAGGTTATTTATCATAGAGACTCCCACATTAACGCCTTCGCTAAGCATTATGCAATTTTTATGACTTTTTTTATAATTAAAACATTAAATAATTATTGCTGCATTATCTTTTATTATACAGTCAGACCTTAATTTGTAAGTTGTAGTTGTTCCAGACAATAAAATGCTAGACAAAATGCTATTTTAGTCGAATTGCAACATAATGTAGATATGGTAACTAATTCAAATGGAGAGAAAGTAATATATAAGTACGTATGTAATACTTCAGATAATTTATGAATTCGAAGTTTAACGCGATAATTGTAGACATATTTAGTTTATTAAGTACTCATAACTCATTAACACATAACTATCGCACCACATAATTATATCAGATGATTCTTGCTTCTAAAGTTTAGAAGTTTACTATATTATTGGAAATTTTAACACCATATAATCTAAAATTTTCACAGACAGGGTGGCTGTGATTAAATGTGTGCGCTCATCACAGTCTTCCTTTATCTGAAAAGTTCTGGATCATACGGTACAATAACAACATTAATCTGGGGGTTAGATATGATTAACCACCATGTTTTATCAATGCAGATATTTGAATATCACGAAAAACCTGTCGCATATTATACTCTTTACCTACTCTTAGTGAAACAGTCAGCTATTAAACCAAGCCGCACTTTTCACGCAGGAGCTGGTCTTCCCATGAAGTCTTAATTCGTGTGTTTTGCTTTGGCTACGCGAACTTGTGTCCTGTTATTTCAATTAATATCAAATTCTGTCTCCCTCCAATTTATAATGATGACTGAATGAGCATTAGAATTACAAGAAATGAAGCAAGCGACATTTAGTTACACAACACTCTGTCAAGAATTTTAACCAACAAAGAGTTTGTTTACGTGAGATTAAATTAAAAGTCAATTTCAGTTACTGAATAAATCAAAATGCATTCCCAGATTTCCTTCGTGGACGAAGCCCCCACATCACATACAAAAAACACATATTCAATACGATCAAAATCACAACAAGCTGGTCTCGGAAACGCTGCGCTCTAAAGCGGCGCCATCGAGAATAAATGTTCAAATTCATATCGAAAAAAATCATTCCGTTTTTCGAGTCCACAAGGAAATATTAATTTGATTGACGGGAATTTCATTTTGGTCTTGAACTGTGATCGTCGACAAAAGTGAAACCCAGTCCATAAGTTATTACGATGGTGTGGCAGCAAATTTAAATAATGGTAGTGGAGAAATCAGCAAGCGGGCTACAGCGGACATTGTAACGAGAGCAGAAATTAAGTTCTTCGTCGTAGTCTGTCACTCCTCTTCGATGATTTTATTCTGTTGACAGGTATAACACACACTCCATATTTCTATGCCCAAAAACCTTCCGCATATTATGCGCCGGTCTTCACAAACTAGCCAACTATTAAGGTCGATTAATAAACTTGCAGCTGACGTTGCTGTTCGCCGTTGACGTTGCCGTTGTAAAATATACGCAGCGAAAGTATGCGTCGTTTGTATCATCCGTTGACGTTGCCGTTGAAAGTTTGCACGCCGTTCGAGATGACGTTCGAGATGACTAACGTACCGTTGACGTTGGGTTTTCAACCAATCAAATTGCGGTAGTGCAGTGCTGCCAACTTGAAGGAAAATCCCCTGAAGTAAGGGGGACATTTTTCTGGTTGACAGCACTAATTCCACGAAAATCAAATTTTGATAGAGATAATGAGTTCCACGTACCTATATTAAGCCAATTAATCACTTGTTCGCCGAAACCCTCATATTTTATGGGTGAGGCTTCTCTTTTGGTTTTCTTTTTTAATTAATTCATAATTCCAAAGATTAAGCCCCTCTCATCTAAATAGTAATGAAGTTTTCATACGTCGCCAGACCTAGAGGCGGAGCATAATTCCAAAATTCATATTTCCTTAGAAAAATTTACACTTTTGAACGTTTTTTAAGTTTCTAAGAAGAAAAAAAATCATTACACATGAGATGGGGTGGGTGGGCGGGGTTTATATTTTACCTTGTTTTTTTCTTAATATACATAGTACTCTTTGAACAACACAATCCTCAAAAACATGTTTTCAATTTCCTGTACAGAAACAAGTATATGTGTAGACTTCTTTCCACAAAATGAAACTTAAAACATGTTTAAAATGGAAAATTTGTATAAGGAAATATCGATGCAAAAATGTACCATTTTAACCACGTACTAAATTTCTTGTTGTAAAAAGATGGCTATGTATATTAAGAAAAAAAGGTAAAAT